GAGAGAAGAAAGTATTAAGTCCCCCCCTTTATTTGTTCTTAGAAGTTTTTCAAAAGGTTTCAGAAAAGAGCATTGTAACAAAGCAAGTTTCAAAAGATTAGCATTGTAATGAAACAGTTCATATTCATCTCTGTTTAGAATGTCTCTATATTAACAAGGAGGCTTTTACAGCTTTTAAAAGTTGATAAGAAAAAAAAAATCTTGGTAAGTCTTCAAAGAAACAAAACTAATTAGTCAGAGAATGCCATCTGGCTGTTCCTTTGATCTTTCTCTCTGTCGGACAGTTAAGAATGTGGCATCCGCCATTTTAGGAGCTTATTTTTTTAGAAACCCGATGCACAAAGAAAGCTCTTTCTTTTTTAAAAATAAAAATAAAAAAAAGGGGGGGACAGATAAAGTTCTCGGGTACGGACTCTGCTTGTATTAATCTCAAATAGATATATCAAAAATTGTCCTAAGCGGGGGTTCCTTACTTTGCGCCGTAGTGGTTACGGCAGAAGTTCCTGGCTCGGAGGTGTGATTCAGCCTTCGGTAGGCCCCCCTTCCGTTCGCAGCAAAGAAAAAAGCTGCAAACTTCAAAGAAAAGCTCTTGCCAGCTGGATCTCTCTCTCATCTTCTTTGCCTGAAGAATGAGTTTATCTACCAGGTATTTAGGCAGATAACGCAGCCAGGAACCCGGGGGCAGCTCGTTAAGCCACCGCCATCAGCAAGGTCCCGCCCCGGAAGTCAAAAAAGATGTTGAGACTCTAAAAAAGGGTAGAGCAACCATGATGATTAGGGGACTGGAGAGTAAAACATATGAATGGTCACAGGTACCGGGCATGGCTAGTCTAGTGGGAGACTAGCTACCAGAGACATGGTAGCAGTGTTCCAATATTTGAGGGGCTGCCACAGAGAAGAAAGGGGTCAACCTGTTTCCCCAGGAACCTGAAGTCCAGACAAGGAATCATGGATGGAAACTGACCAAGGAGAGATTCAACCTAGAAATAAGGAGGAACTTTCTGTCAGTGAGAACAATCAACTGATGGAACAGAAGTGGGAGCTTCATCACTTGAGACTTTCAAGAAGAGATTGAACTGCCATCTGTCAAAAGTGATAAAGGGTCTCCTGCTTGAGCTGGGGGTTGGACTAGATGACCTATAAGGTCCCTTCCAACTCTGACAGATTAACAATATGTTAAATCATTGAATCACAGGATTCTCCTATAACTGATGGGATCACAAGATTCTCTTGGCATTAAGGAGTACAATTCATTGTGTAGCCCTCAATGGAACCGCAGCTGCATGGAGAGAAGCATACAGTGGGCTACTCTGTCTGCCTTTGACCCAGAACTCTTCAACATCTTCATAAACTATTTAAATGAGTTAGCAGGGGAACTTATCAAATTTGCAGATGACACCAAGCTGGGGCGAATGGAGGATAGACTCAGACTTGAAAACTGGGCCTCATCTAACAAAATGAAATTCCACCTAGAGAAAGTAAGGTTCTACACTTGGGCAGGAAAAACCACAGGCACAATTATAGATTAAGCGGTACCTGACTCAACAGCAATACCTTTGTGGGGAATCTTGGTGTCCTCTGTGGATGAACATGTAGTAAATAGGAGCCAGCCGTGTGCTGCAGATGCCGAAAAAGCCAAAGCAGTTCATACACACTATTTTTATAATGCCTTTGTAAGATCACACTTGGAATATTGCATCCAGTTTTAGTATTTTTAATAGCTGTCAGTCAATTTGTCTTTTAAAAAAAAGCAGTTATTTTCCAGGAAGAACAATCCAGTCTTCCTCCTATAACATCTAGAAAGAAAAAACGGAGACCTGTTGAGGTATATAATGTATAATTGTAGCCAGTATAACATTAGTCATAAAGTCATAAAATGGGGCAAAACTCACAACAAACTTCACACTTAGCAACATAAATTCTGGGCTCAATTGTTATCGGAAGTCAAGGACCAGCTGTACCTGCGGACGGTCTCCCTGACACAAAGGGAGGATTTGGCAGAAGCTTAAATTTTAGGCTTGTCTCTCCTGTTATTTTGAGGCCAGGGGCTTTGGGCTACCCGTTTTTTTTACCTGACCTCTGCTCCAGTTCTCTCTGGCCTGAGATCCCCGTCTCTCCAGCCTTTACACCGGGGGGTCAAACGCCATTTCATTGAGGGCCACATCAGGGTTGTGTTTGACCTGGGGGGGGGTTGTTTGGGTGTGATCAGGATGGGTGTCGCCAGCTCGATGTCACTCATGTCGAGGGCACCTGTGATGGCCAAGTGCTAAGGCAGGACTTCCCTCAGGCCCTCCCTCCCTCTCATTATAAACTCCCTCCCCTCTTTATTTTCCTTTCTTCTTCATCTCTTTCCTTCTCTTTCTTTGTGTTTCATTCCTCCTTTTGTTTTGTTTTTCGTTTGTTTTGATAGCTCTCTGCCAGGAAAAATGGAGCTGGTGGGGTGCGTTTTTGGCCTGGATGGCCTCCTGCAACCCTCTGCCAGCGAAAACAGAGCTTGGGGGCGGTGCGTGGCTCCCCACGCTCGGTTTTCTTTGGTAGAGGACTGCAGGAGGCTGTCCCAGATGAAAATAGGGCCTGGGAAGGCTGCGTGCGGTGCTCCCGAGCTCTGTTTTCGGTGTCAGAGATACTGTGGGCTGGTCTTTTGCTGATTCCGGGGAGGCCTCACTGGCAGATCTAAGCACCCTATGGGCCGTATCCGGGCTGCAGGCCTTGAGTTTGACATCCCTGCTTTACACCATCCCAGAAAGGAGGAGGTGGGAAGAATTGTGAGTGGGCTTCACTAAGCAAGAACAGACTAGCATAGATACAACAGCATTTATTGACTCAAAACTGGGACCAATGAACTGCAGGCAAATCCCTCTAATTTATACTCTGGGCCCACCAATCGTAATACTTGAAAAAGCCCACCTAAATATGAATGCTCTAAGTTTCCCTCCAAAAGAGTTGAAGTTAACAGTTGGGGCAGCCAAAGGTTCGTTTCACTTTAGCTGGGCTTTACGCAACTTATCTATTCAATACATAACAGGAAGGGCCCCCACGGGCCCCATAGTCTGCTCCAAGGACCCAGGAATGTGGCACTTTCAGAATTCCCCCCCCCCATCCAGTCAGAACTAATTAAGCTTCTTGGATGAGAAGCAAAACATTTTCTTCCTCGAGAAAAAAATATAGTCCAGTTACCTTTTGAAAAAAAAAAACACCTTTGAGATAGCCATGACCTGGATGACTGAGGAACTCCATACAGTCAGTGCTCCAAGTAATGCACCCATTGAAAGTAGAACTCCGAGCTAGGCTCCTCAAAGAACAATTTATTGGATACATCATATTAGCAAAACTGGTGAAAAATCACTCTGAAAGTTCCCGCGCTTTTCACCTAATTAAAAAGTGAAATTTCCATTTTCCCCTCAAGTCATCAGTCACATTGTCCAATAGAGATGCTGGCTGGTTGCTTGGTTACTCCACTCCTCCTCCCCCCTGCTACAATGTCCTTGGTTCCCACAGGAAAAGTTTTTGTTTTGACTACAAACCCCAGCTATCTATTCCCCCCCCCTCTCTGTTCCCTCTTCTGCCTTGTGGCAACCCTGAAGCCTCCAAAATGGCCTCAGCCAGGTTTGCTTCAGATTGAGCACCATGGACATTTGAGCAAAGAGGCAGGATTCTGGAGACCTGCAATGAAGTCCCCTTCCCCATTAGTGATGGGATGCTTACTTCAAACCCTCCTTTGCTCCTAAGGGGGCATCCTAGGAATTGGAAATTCTGCCTCAGCGAGTCCCTCTTGATTCCCTAGCAGAAGCTGTGGGCACAAGGAAGCCCTTGGTGAGTTAGTTGGAACCAGGATTCCTGGGAGGAAGGAAAACAAGGAAATCTGACTGCTTTGCTAGGAAAAAAAGACTGGAGCCTTTGCGTTCTTCGCATGCAGATGGTGCTTTGCTAGTGGAATCTGGCGTTTTGAGGAAGGATTTACTATTTGGAACAATGTTAATCTTTGGAATTCCAAAATACTGCATGTATTTCTACTACAAGAGATTGGTTCCACTATGAAAACCTGTCCATGTGGGCTTTGGCAGGAGGCTTGATGTGTTCTGATGGGTTTATGCTGAAAATAAGAGGCACTTTTCCTTGAAGCATGCCGGCAGCGCATCTTCTACATCGGGCCCACGGATGAGCAGGCAGCTGCCTGTGCTCCCGAGGGGAAGAAGGGGGTGCTGTGGGTGCCCAAGGCCAGAGGGCGGAAGGCACAGTTGGCTGCTGCTGCTCCTGCAGCCATTGAGGCACTGAGCTAGTGTTGATTTGACTTGTTGCCTGCTTCATTGTGTAATTGTGACCTTTCTCTCTCTTTCTCTGCCCCTCCCCTCCCTTCCCAGGTTCAGATTTTGGTTGAGCGCTTGCCAGAAGTATATTGAAGAGAGCAGCGCAAGGAAGTGCCATCCTGTAGCTCCATGTCTGGCAGATGCCACGTGAGGGAAGATGCTGCTGCACTGACTGGGCATTACCTGTGCCACCCAGAGGTGGGCGCCGCGGGCCAAGGGTGCATAGAGAGCCTGGCCCAGCCAGGAGACCTCACTCTGTGGCAGTGCTGCAGATGCGCTGCCCCCTCGTCAGCCCTGGGAAGCAGAGGGCCTCCTCAGAGGCGAGGTGCACCCATGGGGAAGGGCAGCAGCTCTCCACGTCCCAGCTGGGGGCCTCAAGGAGGCGGCTTCTTAAGCCCAAGGATGTCGGCAACGTGGCTCTGATAGTGGCTGCTCTCCCTCCCTCTGCGCAAGACCCAGCATCCAGAAGCTAGGAAGAAAAGGCAGAGGCCCCCAGTCGTCGTCAAACCCCCCCCCCCGAGTCACAGCAATCTCCAAAAGAAAAGGGTCTTCTCTGGACAGAGACATTTTCAAAACAAGTTTTATAAGAACTCAAAATGGCCAGGAGCCCCTGGGAGTTTTTCTTCTGCAGTTAAAGGTCTGATTCCCGAAGGCAGAGGGTCTCATGTGCTGGGTCCATCTCTGGTCTGGCTGTGGGGCCTTCATGAGACTGAAGGGATAGTCCAGTCAAGTCCAACTCTTGGCCAGCCCTGCTCCCCCCTCCCCTTTTCCATTGGCGGCAGCTGTGTGGAGGGGGCCTTCTCCTTGGAGCCCACCATGAAGTTTTCCTTGCGCTTCTGGTTCCTCTCCACAGCATTCCTGCTTGTCTTCATCATGTCACTGCTCTTCACCTATTCGCACCACAGCATGGCCTATCTGGACCTCGGAGGGCTGAATGGGCTCCACCGGGTGAAACTGGTGCCCAGTTACGCCGGCATGCAGCGCCTGAGCAAGGAGGGGCTCTTGGTGAAGAGCTGTGCCTGCCACCGGTGTGCCATGGAGTCCAGCGACACCGCCTGGTTTGACAGCCGCTTTGATGGCAACATCTCCCCGGTGTGGACCAAAGAGAACATGGACTTACCTCTGGAGGTCCAGAGGTGGTGGATGGTGAGTCCTGCCCCGCCGTCTCTTTGCCCAGACAGAAGCAGTGACTAAGCTCCTGCAGGAAGGGCAAGCCCATGTCTCCTGCTTGGATAAAATCATCTCAGGAACTTTGCTGGGCAGTTTTGCAAATAATCCCCAAAGCCTTTGGACCTGCTCTGTGGCAAAAGCATGGCCAAACTTTTTTTCATTATTTAAGCTGTATGATGCTCTCCTGTCTGTCCGCCCCCCCTTCTCCCTCAGTCCTTTGACACAAACACTCCTTGTGCACATAACAGACCCCTGAGCATTCCTGCCTTCTGTAATCAGCCAAATATTGCATCAAAATGTGCTCCAAGAGAATAAGTAAGGGTGAACAGAGTCTGGGGGAGAGGAAGCATCTTTGCCTCTGGAATTTGCAGCCCCTTGAGGACACAAAGGCAGGAGCTGGTTGGCTTTGCCTTAGGCTAATGCCTTCCTGGTTTTGGTTCCCGCCTCTGTCTTCCTATTGACAGCCACTTTGGTGAAGTGAGTGAAGGTGCTGGGCCAGGAATAAAGAGGCCCGAGTTCAAGTCCTCCTTTCAGCCTGAAGCTGGCTGCAGGAGTGCAGGGCGGTCACTCCCTCTTGGTCTTAGACAGGGAAGTCAAGAAAGAAAGCCCAGGCGTCCTGAAGTGTGTTCTGCAGCTGCTCCCTTGGGGGCAAGATAGATGTGGAGGGTCAGAGTGCCACCATGGCCACCACATCTGTCTTTCCCCAGGCTTTTTGTCTCCAGCTGCTGGGGACCTCAGACTACGCCAGGACTTGACTGTGCCCCTTGTGGGATCATGTCACCCAGTCCATGCTCCCTGACAGCAGGAAGTCAGTGGACTCACCTGGGTGGCCATTTTTAAACATTGCTGAAATCTGAGGAAAAATATTTCTTGTTGGTCATGTATGAATAACACAACATGCTCTGCCTTCAAATACTCTTTTACAGCAGATTAATAATTCAGTAGAAAAGTACCATTAAAAACACAGGCAAAAGGCATTTCGGGACCACACAGGCTGTGAATTGCAACCCAAGTACCTGGGTATCTAGTCAAACTCAACTCGAAGGGCATAGTTGCAGTTGTAATGGTTAGATCAGATCAGTCAATTACATGAACATTTTGTCAGATTTAGTTTTGACAAATAATGAGCTTCATCAACATCGGGTTCAACCCTGTGAATTTAAGACGCAAGCTTAGTATTTGATGACTTCAAATTAAGTCCCTACTTCTGGGCCTGCAGGCGTCGCCTTCTAAAAAAGTAAGGGAACTAACTTCCTGATGGTCCCGCCCGGCTTCTTATTTTTGAGGAATTCTGGAAAATTGGTGAATTGCCAGGAAGGGGGAAGGCAGGTATCTAACACCTTCAAAGTGGAGAGGAGTTGTCATCATGTTGATGGTAGCTGCCCCCAAGTGAGCAGGTTGGAGGAGAAAAGCCCAGCCTCTTGCCACAGTTGCAAACGCAGCCTTTGTTCTTGGGCTGGAAAACTGTAAATGACCAGAACTTCCCAAGGGGACTCGGAAGGAAGGAGCCATGCTGTGATGTTCTGGAATGACCTTTTGTTGTGAGGCTCCTAAACTTTGCTGAGTTTGCTGTCCAAGATGTGGCGTTTTGGGGCTGAGCCTGCCTCATTGCAGAGGCTGCACCGTGTCCCCTTTCTCACTTATTCTCATTCTCATTCTCTGTCTTATCACCCACCAGCCCTTCGCAGGCTGCCTCTTAACACAGATATGTGGAGCATACCCTGGAAGCCCAAGGGCGGAACTCTGGTGGGGCTCAGGGGAGACTATTATGTCCCAAAGTTGTTGAAACCTCAGAGTCATACTGTGGATGGGTGTGTGTGTGTCAAACAAATAAGTCTACCTCCGCAATTATTGTATCAGCAAATGTAACACTTTACCAATGTTCATTGGGAACGTGTGTCCACCTTCACACCAAGTTTCATCAAAACCTGTGATGCCGAGCAGATCCCTTTCTGAAAACAGACCACATGTAATGGAATGACCCCCTTGGAGACTCACTGTTACCTCAGATTGGGTGGGGGGGCAGCATTGCCTGCAAATGCCAGGTGGGGGTGGGGAAGTCAGTGGATGGAAAACGGGGTGGGGGGAGGTCTCCGGCTGCTACTTGTGAGCTGCTCCCATAAGCACCTGGTTGTCTGTGACAAAAAGAAAGCCCTGGCCCAGTTCAGTTCCTCAAACTGCCCTTCAACAAGCAAGGTGGGCTTTGAAGAGGAGACTCTGAAGGATTTGGATGAGCATTTAATGGCTGCAGGCCGTTTTGTTGTCAGTGAGAGGGAGATATCCCCCAAAGATGAGTCTCTTCTGTGTTTTGTAAGCTCCCCTGGTTTACACTCGGTTTGGTCAACAGCGGGATCAGTGCTCGCGACCCAAGTTCGGCTGTCCTGTCCTCTCTCTCAAAACCTCCCCAGACTTTTTCTTTATATATATATATATATATATATATATATATATATATATATATATATATA